TCTGAACTTGATCATGAGAAATGCTGGGGAATGGTATTAAAAAATGTCTTTTGCTGCCATGTCAATAATTGTATTAAGGTATCACATTGTAAAGTGAGGGTCTTTACAGCCTGCTGGGTATCTTTAGGGTATGGATAAATGCATTTTGGGAAGTCACATCCAAGAGATGTCTGTCAGAAACAAATGTGACAGCATTTCTTAGTTCGGACATATCTTCAATTGATCCACTAACCTAAGAAAGTTGTTGCTTCAGGCAAGTGATGGACCTTGTGCCTTTAAGAAAGTAAACCAGCATTCAAAGTTGAATTGTCTACAAGTAAATTCACAGAGCCAAGGAATTTGGAACTACAGTCCTAAAGTTGCTCTCCTGTAATGAGGTGCTGAGGGGCCAGTATTTTATGTCAGACTTGACAGCTGTGAACAACSCTTTGATATACAGTTTTATACACAAAATAACTAACATAAGGGACTTGCTTCAAGATTACAGACAGAGGAGAGRGCCCATTTGCCAATTCTCTGCTTTTTGTGTCCTGTTCCAAGGCAGCATTGCCTGCAAATCTCCTTACATTCACAAAAGCATTATCCCTTTCTGTTTTTAACATTAAGCATGAAGAAGCTTCCAACTTTGTTTCTCACAGAAGAAGGCTTYCTCCTTGTGGAAACAAAGTCTTGCAAAGCAATAAACATTACAATGTTGATTTATAATGCTTTGTACAGGCCTCTTGAGATGCTCTACAGATGAAAAAAACCCTGCAGCCCCTCTGGGCAGGAGGTACCAAGCCTATTTTCACAAAATCAGAGAAGCAATTAGCTTGGAAAAGACCGCTGAGATCATTGAGTTCAAACTCTGACCAGACACCACCTTGTCAACATGACCATGGCACGAAGTGACACATCCAGTCTGTCCTTAAACACCTCCACCAATGGTGACTSCCAAAACCTCCCTGGGCAGCCCATTCCAATGCCCAGTTCCTCCTAATATTCAATCTAAACCTCTCTTGGCGCTGTTTAAGACTGTGTCCTCTTGTCCTGTCGCTGGTTGCCTGGGAGAAGAGGCCAACCTCCACCTGGCTACACCTTCCTTTCAGGTAAATGTAGAGAGAAACAAGGTTACTGAGCCTGCTTTTCTCCAGGCTAAACCCCCCAGCTCCCTCAGGAACACCTCAACTTGTGCTCCAGACCCTTTGATGCCTGATGATTTTTGCTTTTCCTTTTTATGCTTTCTGTACCCTCTATGCATTCCCCTGCACCCCTTAGCCCACATGTTTGTAATTCCTGTAGCCTGATATTCCAGTTTAGTTTAGGAGTTCTACTAGGCAGAGAGACGAAACATCCTGAGGAAGGAGTCAGTGTACACTGTGCTATCTTAAACCTGAGCTCAGCCTTGGGTGAAGCCTTCTGTCCAGAACATCTTGTGTAAACTAGGCTCTGGACTCATCTTGGAAAGGGACTCATTAGAATAGGGAGACATTACTGCATTTGTTAAGTTTCTTATTGGAGAATCCTAGATGGATATGCTAATTCCTGAAACCTATAAAACTTGTACCCGTCCTGTACATGGGTGTGCATTCTGCCATCAAGTTGTGCACCTGAGATCCCAAATACCGMGGTAAAACCCTTTTTATCCCCTTAACCGTGTCTGTGTCATTATTAAAAACTGGCCTTTCAAGGCAACACCTTCACCAGCTCTGTTGCCTTTCTCTGGACTCGCTTTCTCATGGGTGCAGAAGTCCTAAGCAACAACAAGCAAAGCCAAGAGTAAGAATATGCAGGTTTAAATCCTGCGCCTAGTAACTGCTAAACCAGACTTCCCAAGCTCTAAGCGAGGGTGCAGGGGAGCATCACATGAAACAACTCCAGCAGCAGCAAAAAAAAAAAAAAAAAAAAGCAAAAATAGATATGTTCTTTCTGTCCCCAACCTCTCTCGTGCCCTGTCCTGTTCAAACTCGCTCCAAATCCCCGCGCCAGCGCCGCTCTCCAGGAGGCGGCACAAGATGGAGGCGGCGGGGGAAGCCTGAGGGCTSTGAGGGATGCGGAGCTGGACGGAGCAGAAGCACCAGCCACAACACGCCGAGAGCAGCAGGGAAAAACCCCGAAAGGCGCGGCGACCCCAAGGAAAAGTCACGATCAGCCACCCCCAGGAGCCGGCACGGTCCGGCCCGCAGCAACGCCCGGCCGCAGGGGAAGGACATTGCCGGCSCCGCCCGCCCGCCGTGGCCATGGGAACGGCGGCGGTGCCGGACCCGCTCGGCGGGGAGAGGCCGGACCTTCCTGCGGTACCGAGCCCTGCCCCGCTGCAGCCCCGGGCGGTGGCACCGGTGCGGATCAGACCGAGCCCTTCAGCGGGTCTGGGGTGTGAGGCCTCTGCCGGGGGTGYCCTGCCCCAGCGGCCCGCGGTGTCGCCGAGATCCGCACCAGGTGGGTGCCACAGCGCTGGGAGCGTGGAACCTTTGCAGCTCTGTGTCCCCAGGGGAAAACATCATGTACAGTATGGTATATCCACTGATTACCATTGCACCGTGCCTTCCTTTTAATGTTTCGTGTCTTCACGTTTTCTGTTTATGTTGATGGTACTTCCAAAGGAAGCAGATTTTTCTACTAGGTTTTTTACATGCATCTTCCACAGAACAGTAGGATTTCAGCTCTGAGGCTCATTTGTGTGATGGTGAAATTTCTTTGATACAGAGATATGTATTTCAGTTCTTTCTTCCTAGTTTGTTCTATACTCTCTTATGGACAGACTTTTAAAGAGGGAAGTGGAACCTGATGATTCGTGCTGATTCCTCCAATATGTAACTAGTTCCATTTCTTCAYTTGTCTTTCAGACCCTCTGTACATACTGTGAAGTGAGAAGGACTCTCCAAAGTCAAATGTCCATGCTCAACTTGATGGTTGTAAAGTGGTAGGTATTAGCCAAAGACAGCTCACATGTTCACATTGTTTTTTTCTGCATATACATGGGTAGAAACTTTGTCTCAGTCCTAAACTGCTCCCTTAAAAYAGCAAAATACAAAGCAGAGACATTTTATCTAAAGTGAGACAACAAAGGAGTAGCCACAATTGCTGGACTATGGTGAGGCTGTGAAAGCAACCTAGAAATACCCAACTTCATGTTCTGAGTAATTTCCTGAATTGTGTGTCAATATTTTTAAGAGACTATCTTCAAATGCTGTTAATTATGGCTTGTACATGTTACTTAGATCTAATAAAATAACTGGACAGCCGTTGGGCTGTTGTTTGGGCAGAGCCGTCATTTCACACGGTGCCTCCTCACTTACCTTGGGAAATGCTTACACTACAGATCAACATAAAACGTTTAAAGTAAAATGAAATATCTGGCAACAGCTAAGCAGCCTGTAAAGACTGCAAATCCATCCTGGTTCTTCATACAGGGTTARCAGAGTCCTAACTAAGTCTAGCTAAGTCCTCAGCCAGTTAGCCCATGCTTAGCTCCCTACTGCATTTGCTCTCCTGCTGTCAGTATTCCCCTTAGCTAGTTTTAAACCAGCTAAGATATGTCTGTGGGAGTTGCAGTCACACCTTTAGACAGCAATGATTGATAACTCATAGGATGCATACAGGTAGAGTGCTAGAAGAAAACTTGGTGCAACTGCACAATGAATTGGATTTTAAACAGAGTCCTGCTGAAGCTGTGCATTTGACTGAGGCTGCAGGGCAGATACTCTGAACTCAAACTCCATTGTGGTGCAGCAAGGAGAAAAGCCCTGAGCACCTTTCCAGGAATAAAGAAACAATTTTTGAAGAGTGTTTCCAGATATCTCTTACTCCATTATCTCAGAATATTTCTTATATCTATATGAAAACAAAAAAAAAGTATTTGTCTGCCTCCCTGTAGAGAGACATGCACACAGAGCTGAGAATGTAGCCTGTCATCAGACAGATCCTTGCAACCTGGCTGTGGTAACAGTTCAGGCCAGACAAGATAAACAGGCATCCTGTCACTAAAGTTGTCATGTCATAGGYGTAAGGTGCAGATGGGTGTGGTGGCAGACTCTGACTTGCATTAAACATGTTTTAAAATCAATCAATAAGTGCATAATGTGCAATTCAAMCCCCTACAACTTTGAATTTTAATCTGTAGCTTCATCAGYTGGGATGGACAGATGTTGTGATACRRTAGYTCATAGGGTATTCCAAACTYTCCAAAGTTGAACTCCCTTTGAAGAGAAATGGAACAAAAATGCAATTTCAWGCACAGCAAGCAGGTACTCATAGTAGGGTGCCTAGATCTTCATCAACTGACACTGTCTTACACTCAGGTGAGTGCCTGAAATGTCACTTGTATACATTTGAACTAGCACTYTCTGAAATCAAAGGGGCAATTCACACTTCTATTCTGATTTCAGTCTTTGCAGAAGCTCAAGCCAACAGCGCAACATCTATTACATTTCAGTCATGTTGCAAAGGTTTATTGGCAGTCATAAATTTAGCAATTTGAGGCATGTCTACCCAGGGAAATTAGTCCTTAAAAGGAAGGGTGTATATTTTTCATGTGATCATTTTTTGTGTGCTAGCTCTCTTGGAGATATTTTTAACAAATGCTAAAATTGTTGCAGTATAATATAATGTAACTTTACCCTGTAAGTGGAATATGTTACTTAATTTCTAGAGCACTAGAAATAGGAGGGAGTTACATGGGGTAACGTGCTAGAAGTTCACATTGCTGCACATTCACAGTTACTGCACACTAACTTCTTTATGTAACAAACTGTTAGACCTTTTGGTTTTAAGTATAAGTTTAGCACTGGAAAACAGCCAGAAGACAAATCTGTGCATCTGCTGCTAGTCTGGTATGCTCCACATCTTGAGAAGTACCATCTAACTAGCTGACATCATTAGCATACATTCCGCCTTCTTTCCCCATCCCAAATGTGCAGTCCTGTAAATCACAGCAGGCTGGAATTCTCATCCCTTTAGTGCTGTTTGAAAAGGCTAAATTACTGCCTCTCTTCTTTGTGTCCACACAAATGCTAGGTAAAGCACCGATATTCTCAAGTATGGCTACTGGATTGATTCATTTCCCRGCCTGCAATTTGTGCTTCAAGGACAAAGATCCAGTGCCCGTATTTATTGGTCGAAGATGGAGGGCTCAGCAGCGCCTGGAGGCTCTTCAGCGGCTTGCTGTGTAAGTGTTCTATGGTTGGATAATTTAAAACGAACATACAAACAAAACCGACAAAAACCCATGCACACTGAAGTGGAGATGACTGCAATTTGCTCCTACTTACATTTCCCTTGAAATTAAGAGATTGCAGCTGTTGTGGAGTATGGTTACCCATCTGTTTCTTACAGGGTGGATGTTGCACATTCCTTCATCCTTGTGCTATCTGCTTTGCAGCGGTTGCCATGAAAAAGAAGAGTTATTTCAATCTCTTAACAGATCAGATGTGTTATGAAGACTTCAGTGAGTCATGTGTGTTACTTCAGTGGAAGCTCTTCCATTTTAGTCCCGTGCAATTGCAGCTGGTTAGGTGGCTTCTGCTGCTCTTTYCAGGGTCCTTGGGGCCTGAACCAGGGCACCACATTTCTAGTGCAGGGGTTTCTTAGTTAACCTTTCTCCTGGCATCACAATTTGGGTTCTGATTAAGCAAGTATTAAAAAGAAAAGTTTATATATTTTGCCACACCTTTAAGTTCTCTTGTAGCTGTATTCAAGACTGCAGGCATCACCCTAGGTTTTTGTTTTCAGACTTTCTTTCTGCTTTAAGAAACTAACTTTAGGCCATGGGCTTTTCAGATGATGCATACTCGAAGATTGCTGGAAAATGAGTTGTACAGCATGTCAGACAATAATCAAAGATGCTTCAGAGTGATACAGTGRACTTCACACCTGGTTTTGTTCAGTTTCAAAGGCATAGTCTTCTCATTTCCATCATTAAAAAAAAAATAGAGTATTTTTTGCTTAACAATATTTTCAGTATTTCAGACTGTCCCCAGCACATGAACACCTCAGTGGCATCTTATATTTTGCTTGCTATTCTGTAACAACTTATTTGGCACCTGCACTGCTTTAAAATTGATTTACATTTCAACATGTATTTTCAAAATGTCTTGCAGTTAACAAAAAAAAGAGAAATATATCCCCTCTGTTTCAACCTGCAYGATTGACAGTGCTGCTGATACAGAAGACAGAATATTTCCCAGCTGTCTTTTCAGTAGTTRCATTGCCTCTGCAAGGTTACTGAGAATAAATGCTCATTTATTTCAGCAAAGTCAGCAAATGTAAGTCAAGGACATGCAAGAGGCAGGATCTGTGGAATAAAGAGGGCTATTTCCCTGGGTTCCCATTGTGCCTATAACTATACCATAATAGGATGAACRGTTTATGCTAATAAAGTTAGATCATAAGAATAAGTGCCCACCTGTGCTGAATGAAACACAAATCCATCTGGATGGAGCAACAGTCTGATATGTAAGGAGTCAGCTAGTGGARCTAGCCATCAGCTCAATTAACTCATTTGAATTACAAACACAACTTCACAATAATAGGTTGATTAGTGCTGAGCAAGTATATCAGGTTACGACATTGCRTCTCAAAATATTCCCTTCTCTTTTCTTATGTGATACGACTGAAAGCCTTGRGAAGGGATGACTTTAAACTTACCTTGGCAGTAAATTGGATGTCACAGAAGGTTAATGAAGCATCTTGCTCTAAGCTTTCCTGGAGCAGGTAGCCACACTGTGGCTCCCTGAATTCCACAGCACAGTTTGCAGGAATTAGAGGAAGGCTTGGAAGACAACTGATCTCAGCACATAATCCTCTGTTGTGATCCCAGCTGTCAAGCAATGTTATTTATGTATTGTTAATTTTATCTCTATAAATGCACCTTTGTACAGCAACCAAATCCAGCATCTATGAACACCTGAGGTCAGAATTAGTACAAGTTGCCAAAAATGGCCTYATGGAAAATCTGGCCTTCAGAACTTGCCATATATATAGATCAAAGACATAAAATCRTAGAATGGCCTGGGGTGRAAGGGACCTTAAAGATGATGTTGTTCCAATCCTCCTGCCATGGGCAGGAACACCTTTCATTCAGAGCTCCATCCAACCTGGTCTCAAACACTTCCAGGTATGGGGCATCCACAGCTTCTCTGGGAAGAACTTCTATTTTTTTGTCTTTAACAACTGTGCAGGTTGAGAAGAATAAGACTGGAGTATAAAGCARTTGTGAAGTCAAATAGCAATCCTGATGAATAGCTTTCAAATTACTCAGTTCTACTGGGTATCTCACTGACTGCCTTAATGAGGTTTTCCATATGATCTTCCAAAGCCTTAAAGGAAACTTCAAGATGTTATAGAGAAAAATTTAAAGTCTGCCTACTTTAAATTCAAAATGGGGAAAAAATGAGGAGTGTTCTTGAAAAAGGTATGGTTGTTCCAGCATAGATTTTGAAACATTGACATGAACATCCTGATCTTTCTCCTTTACCAGAGCATTCAAATTGAAATTGCTGCTTCTAAAAATTTTAACATTTGCTCAAAATTTCTTTAGCTACTTTTCAAAGGGAGAAAGTGAAAGTCTTCTCCTTGGCTCATGCTATTCCTTTACACGTGTTTTCTGTTATGGAAAGTGCTTCACTCTGGAGGAAATGAGCTCGCTCCCCCCACTTCCAGTAAAAGTAGTTTACTTTACAAAGTCAAACGTGTACAAATGATCAATCCTTTCCACAGCCAGCTCATAAGAAAGTTTTAATAAAGGCAGCAAAGACCATTTCTTTACCACACAAAGTGGCAAAAATGCAGTGTCAGACTGTTTTGCTACCTAGATAAATATGAGAAAAACAAAATATAATTGCTTGTGTAAGTGTGAGGATTTGGGGGAATTTACAGTGTGRACATTGGAATGTACAACCAGAGAGGAGAGAGATTAAAAAAACAAAGGGTGTAAGGAAATGAAGATCAAACTGCTCTAAATGTACTTCTTAAATTATGTCCTGTATTTTGGCTTTCAGAGGTCGGTCTTCTCTTCAGTTACCTCAGGTTGTGTATGAAGATCCTGAAGTTCGTGGAAGAAATCGCTACAAGTATTTTGTAAGGTAAGGAATAAACTGCTTTGAAACAGCATTCAGAAGCTTGCTTCTGTGYAGTTTAAAGAGCACCTAAGTAAAGGCCAGAGCATTACTTTTTCTSTATTTTCTGTCAGTTCTTTGATCACTGATATGGAAAATTTTAGTAGTAACCAAATTTCAAAAAAAAATCTTTTTAAATTCACGCTATGACACAATTTTCAGCTAGGTGTTACCATATAAGCAAATATACCAGACATTCTGTGCTTAATAAGAAATCTTTGGGCTGTAGATYATCATGTGCAAAGGAAGAAGATACTTACAAAGCCACTGTGGTTCACCAGACCCCTAGAAAGGTGTCTTCTTAAGAAGGAACCTTCTAACTCCCCGTTTCTGTCAGGAGCAGAAAGGGAGCAAAGGGAGTCCTTGATTATCTTTTCATCAATGTCCTCTACTGCTCTGCAATGTCCTCTACTGCWGTGACTTTCAGAATTACCCTGCAAGTCAGCAATGGACTCAAGATCTGAACCAACAGCTACCATATAAACATTCTTGACTCAGTCACATATGCTTTGAATTGCATTCACTATTTTACTCAGCAGCTATCAGTGACTATGTCCACTTTAAATATAAAAAAATTGCCATGTTTAATAAATTGAAATCTGTTATGGCTCCTTTATCAACAATTTTTGAGAACAAAGTTGTTGATGTTATCTTTTGCAATTTGAAGTTAAGCTTTAAAGTCTCTCAGAGACTTAGGGAAATTGATAGTGAATGTAATATGCAAATTATAAGAATGCCTATGAAGGAATTATTAATGGTAGTTTAGCCTATATCACTTTCAAGATACGTAATAAAATATTGCAAAAAAGGAAACAATACAATTAGATAAGTCCAAAACAGCTTATCAGCTGATTGTAGGAATGCATGTAAGGATTTCAAGCAGTTATTAAAGAAAACAACAGGTCTTTCAAAAACTTGAAATGAAAAAAATTATACTAATTAGTGAAATGTACACTAAATGTTGGCAGCACACTCAAAACCAGCTTTAATAATTGTCTTGTTTTGCAATTCTACTTTCTGCTTTGACTTAAGAATAACACTGCCTTGGTGGTGAAACTTTCTCTTTTACTCCTTAGCTATGAAAGAGTGCTTTAATATTCAGGCACAATTCTTAAACAGACAACTACAGAATCTGAGTTAGGGAAAATCTGAAATTGGTGGACTGCAGTTTTTCYAAACMACAGTGATCTTTTAGGCTCATCCTWGTTGTCTTTCATTCTTTMTTTTCAGACCTCTCACCACTTCTAAGAAGCTGCCTTCAGCAGATGTTCCAAAAGATGTTGCTTATAAACAGTAAGTAGTGACTTGTGGCAAATTACTGTTGGAATGAGTAACATCTCACCAGAAAAAGATCAGGAAACTATTTAGCTGGTGACCAGTATTTTTCATAATGARCCAAGAGGAAAAGCTTGTTAAAAGATAAGGTTCTGTTCCCATCGTTGAGAATTCTGGAAGAAACAGGTGATTAACTGTTTCAGAATTTGCTTGCAGTATATTAGTGCTTTGTGAATAAAGGACACATGCCATGATTGTGAGGCTTGAAACAGAAAGCTAAATGTCTCAGAATCCTAGGAGAGATACCATTGAAAAGATTCTGTAATAGAGCAATATTGTTGGAAAATCTCCTGATATTTTATTGCAATCTCTGTGATAGATGCAGTACTGTTCAGAGATGTAGAACATCCATGATATAGTCTAATGTGGTTTTCAGTGAGCATCAAATTTTGAGGTCACATAATAAAATTCAATGGTAGAGTCAATGGCATTTGTTCATATCAGAAATAAATTTGTATTCTGGAATTGTTGGAAAGAGAAACGTAGACTAAATTGAAGCAGTCCTACTTCATGTTACTTAAACCATTTTGTGTCCATTAAAGGCAATGCTTTACAATGGATACCTAGGGAACATTTGTATGTATAATCATGACAGCTGAAACTAGAAGTTTTCTGGATTATTTACCTAAGGAGAGTGTTTCAGGCTCAGYGTAGCTTCAATCTGCTTTTACTAAAGATCATGGAGTTAGCATCAATGGGAGTAATGTTAAGATAAACCAAAACACATTTAAGTCTCTTACCTTTGACTGATGTGTTTCTGGTTTGTTTGCTTGKGGYTTTTTTAATGAATGTAACCAATGTCCCTCCATCTTTCACCTCTTTTTAGGACAGAGGTGCGTCTCCAGTCAGCTGAAGGAGGCAGCCTGGTCTTTGAGGCCATGTTCAGAACTCTGGGGATACAAACAGATTACAGGGATGGTGAAGCACAGACAGATCCCTATTCCCCTGAATATATMGTTCGCAGTGGCTCAGTCCCTGAAATTCTGGCACTTGCTACACTAACTTGGGGTGAGTTGTGAAATTAAGATAAATTATAATCATAGTGTCACCTCTTTAGCWGGAGGTTCTTTTCTATGTCAGGTTTCAAGTCTATTGGCAGCTTTGGCAGTCCTTTGTTGTGTGCATTTGGGGCAATTATTTTATCAGTTTCCAAAATAAGTATGATATTTGCCTGGTTAATGGTGCTGTTMTGGGGCATTTCATGAAGAGTTTTGAGATCATTCAATATAAAAAGRTCATGTTTTACAAATATGAACTAGAAGGAGTTTTCCATTTACACGTTGTTCTTCAGCTGCTCTGAGTTGAACATTGTTTGAAAATACACAGTATGAACACTGCTGCCCCAGAATATACCTGTGATCCTCATCTCCCAGTGTCTCACCTGTAGTGATGATGGACACTGGACAAGCCAAAGGAAGTATCTTCCTCGAAAAGCTTTTCTTCCTTTGCAGCCTGCAGTAGAGGAAGGAGGTGTCAGTTTTAATGTCCTCTGAACTATAGCAATTGCAGGTCCTACCATGCCTCATCCTGGCCCTACAAGTATTTACTTCTAGTGTTTGAAGTTCTGCTTATATTTAATACATGATCTGGTGCCCATCCAGCCCTCTCATACTTTTTGGTGGTGGCTGTTTKTGGGATTTGCCATTCTCCTGAAGAGCTAATGCTTCTTCTCCCTGTAAGGTCGGGGGCTGCCAGCAGGACCAGCCGAGCTGGAGATTATTGACCGCATCCGGGAAAAACGTGCTTGGGAGGCAGCTCTTCCACCCATGGACAGTCCTGCAAACATCGCAAAGCGGCTGGAGATGATGGAGTATATGGAAAGGAAGGAGTGGGCCTACAGAGAAGAGGAAATAGATAAGTAGGAGTTCAATTGTACTCTTTTATTTCTTTCAATTACTGGCAGAATAGAGGAGCAAGAAGATTTAGGGGATTGGCTGAAGGGTACAACAAACCTTCTATTTCTGTGAAAACATCCTGATTTTGGGAAGGGATGTTCTTAAATTTAATCTAAGAGTCTGCAACCATAATACAATTCTATGAGTGCTTAACTCTCTTTTTAAAATGAAAGATTGAATATGAGATACGCAGTATGAATTATTTGTAAAGTAGTCCWTTGGTATGTAGGATTTGATGGTGACAGGATTGCACAGAACAGTGCAGAGTACACTCAATAGTACCTGACCTTTTCTTTCCTTGTAGGTTGCAGAAGGTTCAACTGGAAGTCTTTAAGGAGCTGCTGCGGAGACGAGAGGAGAATCAGAATGAGGTGAATGACATGCGCTTGTACAACCACTGGCACAATCATCAGAAGGCTAAAGAAGAGAAAATAAGAAAGATTCAGCATGACTGTGCAATGAGTAAGTCTGAAAGACAGGAAAAAAGGAGGGTATGAGACAGTTTTCAGAAAAGCCATTTCTATTTTCACAAAGTTATGATCTGTTCAAAATGAAATAGGTTGCATGGCCAGCATTTGGTCTGTCRTGTTTTTGTTTTATCTAGCAAAAGYTCWCGTGAATTTACAAAGATAYGGCTTTGATAGAACTATTTGTATGAACCTYCTCACATTTGTATTTCCTTTTCAGTGCTCAGGAAATTGATAGCTAAGAGGAAGAATGTTATGGGAAAGCAGRGGAGACGAGATATCATCAAAGAGTATAATGACTTTTCATCACAAGTATATGCTCCTTTGTCTAGAATTGGGTTTTTCCCAGACAAAAGTTCTGACGGCTATGCGGTGAATAACTTCTATCTTAACACCTTTGCAGGTAAGGCATTTTGGAAGACTTAGTTGGGGAGATACTTACTTGAGATATTAASAAAATTCAAGTTTCTCTCCCTGTCACTCCACTGCTTAATCACTGTTTGTATTATAATCTTCTTATGTATTATAATCCTTGTATGTGTTATAATATTTCTTTGTATTATAATCCTAGGATTGTGTGAACTGGAACAATCTGTCTCCCAGCTCAAGATTAAAGCTCCAAAACCTAAATGCAATATCACAAAGACTGGCTATGTTACAAGGGCAGGAAGGCTAGAGGTAGTCTTGGCACAGGTTCACCAGGTATGAAGCTGCATCCAGMAGCATGTCAGTTCCTCTTTGATTTGAACTGCTCATAAATTCAATGGGGAAGATGTGTATTTCCCAATTTCTCATGCTAAATTCTTATTCTGTAGAACAACTTCAAGGACAGAATGGATCAAACATGCAAGCTGTTGTAGGCTTGACCACTACTGCTCTGATACTTAGTCCATCAGTACTTTCAGTTCTGCTTCTGTTCCAGTCCTATAGAAAACAAACACCGCTGCTTCTGTCTTCCTACAGATCATGTATTTGGATAGGAACATATTATGTCMATTTGAAATTCTCACCATTTTCTTGTCATTTCTCCTTTTTATAATACACAAGTAGTAAACCTTTTGGCTACACTGTCAAGCTTCCAATAATTAAAGAAAGCAAATCTGGATTAATATTCTAAAAATTTTGTACATTTTTTAAAAAGCACATTTTAAGTACATATTGTAAAATCATCTGCAGCAAAACATGATTAAAATGACCTCAGTCATAAAATCAGTGTGTGGAAGCACATTACTGTTGTTCCCTAAGAACAGCATCTGATTTGCAAACAGGCTAATAGCATTTTGCATATCTTAATTTATCACAACTGTTCACGCAGGTGAGGTGTCCATATATGCAATTAACCACCAAGGAAAGAAGTGCCTCATTTGCATCTGCAATCACAATATTTGTAAATTACATGTACGTTTAAGTACACTTCTTGTGATGCTGTTGAGGGTTACCTTCATGTAAAATCAGGAATATTCTTGGCTGGCTGCTGTATTCTTGGAAAATAGTGACTCTCATTTGTAAAGCTTGGCAAGTTTCACTTAGATAGATAGATAGATAGATAGATAGATAGATAGATAGATAGATAGATAGATAGATAGATAGATAGATAGATAGATAGATAGATATAGATAGATAGAGTCTCTGATTTAGTGTAATTGAATAAGAATTTCAAAGCAGATATCAAACTGCTACTGCTGGATTTTAAATTGAAATCTTGCTCTGAAAAATCAATCATATTATCTCAAATTCTGCTGGATCTTGTAAAAGATGAAATATAGCCTCTCATTATTATACAGAAAGACAATTTTCAAAGAAAATCTCGAGTGCTACAGGAATTGTTCGAGAGTAAGGACAAAACACCTCATTTTAAACACACAGAAGTATTGAAGTGATTTGAGTTTGGGTTGGTTTGTATAAAATTCAAGAAGTGATTGTGTAATCTGCATCATAACATGGTTCTCATTGTCAACAGAACATTAGTCCAAGTTTTCAGGGCTGATTTCCAATGGCAGCAATTGTATTCTGTTTAAAATAMTTCTCATATTTTGGAAGACTGTGGTGAAGTGTCCAAACTGCAGCCATAGAGAAGTGTGAGCAGCCGAATGCTGCTGCTCACACAAAAATGTCTCTTCAAAGAAAAACTGGTGGACAAAGGAAGATGACATGCAGAAATGCAGACATTTCTGCACATTTTCTTCCTTAAAGCAATGCAGATCACTTGGTCTGTATTGATTTGTAGCAACTGAGAGGCTGAATAAGTAATACTCATTTCCTCCCTTAGAGGACAGCTCTGTGACCACTTGGAATAAGCAGTCCCAATTGTGCCAACAAACCTCCTGTAACACACAGAAGGAAAGAGGTTTAAAGCAGATAATTAGGGATCATTTTACAAGAGAACTGTGTTGCTTTGCCTTATTTCTATTGTTGAGTAGCCAGACCAGTTTTCTATTAAAAAATTTATTTTAGTGCTCTCCTAGCACATTTAATGTATAAATTCTCTCCCWTAATCCTAGAAATAAAGTGGAATCCTAGAAAATTCAGAGACTACATGGTGATCTAGCTCTAGAATGAGGTTTTTTCATTTTCCCTGGATTATCTGGAAGCAAGTGATAAATGTAGGAGGAATGCTAGATTTTGGCCTCAGAAGTAATTTGTTTTAATAAAGGAATTTCCAAGGTTTGTTTCTCTGGCCAAATGTGAGGGAAAATGGATAAGTTGTCCTCATTATATTCCTTTTTGTTTGCCAGATTGAGGGTATTGCTAAGATTAAAGCTTGTTAGAAGGGATAAACAATAATCCAAGTAACTACAAAAAGGATCTGTGTACTCCTAAGAATGAGAGCTGCTTCTTTCAGACATGAAACTAAGCCAGAAAGAAGTGATTTAAGAAGCAGACTTTTTGAGGACCGTCCTGAAACCTTTTGCAGAAGTATTATGTRCACTCAGTAGTCTTTGAATAATTTCTAAAATAAGAGAATCTGCCAGCAACAGGAGTGACCCAAGATTTACAGAAAAACAACAATCTTTATCTTAARCCAGACCAGTAAAAGGACAAAGAAAGATAGTTCCTAGCTAGCACACATAACATTGCTTTAAGGAGTCTAAATGAGCCATTATATAGACAGCCTTRCATGAAAATCCAAGGCATTAAGGACATAACATACCAACACAGATAACTACTGTAGGGAATCAATGCAACTGGGTAAGTGAACACACCAAGGAGTGGAGGAGGTGGTAGAAGATGTCCCAGTGCAGAACAATGCATGACTTTAGGCAGATCCTCTATGCKCTGGTGACTCAAGAGGGGTGAAGTGTCAGGTGGTTTTAAAGTGTTGGATCAAGATGAAGTCAGAACCTAAACCTTCTCAACTCAGCATTAAGTGCAGTTCTCACCATGTCTGTTTTCTGTATCTGGTTGCTGGAAGGAGATAGAGAAGTAGAGGGGCCAAGAATGTCTCTGGARAAAATCTCTGCCAACTTCAAATTGTAGGAAAAGCCCGTTTAAGCAGTTACTTCTTCAAGAACAGATCTCCACAGAGTGTTAGTTGGCTCATGCTCAGAGAGGCTCTCAGAGCTTTTATGGCAGTTTTGATCAGCCAAAAGCAGGCTGGCAGTGTGTCCTTGATGATCCTACCTGAAAGGAGGCTGTAGCCAAATGGAGGTTGACCTCTTCTCCCAGGCAGCCAGYAACAGAACAAGAGAACATAGTCTTAAACTGCACCATGGGAGGTTTAGATTGGAATCAGGAAGAATTTCTTAACAGAAAAGGTGATTAAACTTTGCAGTGGACTGCCCAGGTGGTAGAGTCATTATCCATGGAGGTGTTTAAGGAAAGAATGGATGTGGTACTCAGTGCTGTGGTCTGGTTGCCCTGGTGGTTTTCATACTTGAACTCTGATCATCTCAGAGGTCTTTTCCAGCCTCATTGATTGTGGGATGCTGTGGTCCCACCTTCATCATTTGCATGCAAGAAGGAAGAAAGAGAAACATGGCTGTAAACTTAGTGCTGTACATGAAAATCAAGTTTACCTAGGGTCTTGTGGAAAGGAGAGGATCACAGAGAAGATATGGGAGGAATCTAAAGAATGGATTGAATGATTTCTTTGAGTTGCTTCTTAAGCCACTATCCTGTCAAGAGTTCTGCTTCTCTCAGAGGCTGGCTAAGAAGCTAAGGTGTGTGGTGAAAAGCATGAGTGCCATTTGCTRTTCCCTGCATTTGCCAGGAAAATGGAAAGGAGATGAATTGCCTTCTTTTCACCTGCTTTTCTGGTTGGTCCAATCCAACCAGATCCTACCTTGACTCTGAACCTACTATCTGAATAAAGGAATATAGTCTTTATGAGGAAAACTGGAGTGTGATATGCAGGCAGTAACATTTGGAGTATGTTGTTCAGAAATTTAGCACTTTTATCTTTTTTATGAAAGTATTTTTGCAGTAATTTTTGGACCTTGTTTTCCCTATTTCCAAAAATCAGAAGTTAGGCAGAACCAGTTAATGCAAAACCCCTATATTTTCTTTTTCTTTTCTTATGTTAAACTCTTAAAATAATTTAAAGCATCAGATTAGAGAAAGCAAATGATAAGCATTTTTTTTAATTAGTAAAAATAGCCAACCAGGCACTAGATAGGGCTGGCATGAAAATAYAAAACCATTTCTAGGAACAGCAGTATATCTCAAATCTACGTTAACAAGGATTCCCTCTTGTCCAAACTGCTCATAGATTTTTCTGTCTTTAAAAGTTGTTATTTTTGTTATATTTTATAATTCTGGTTAGCAGGAAACATTTTTGGAGGCCATAAGAAAAATTCTTATGAATGCGARATTGTACTAATAAACATAGTAACCATTGTTTTCAAAAGAATCACAACTACAGCAGCTTTTTCTTTCTGCTTCCCTTGCCCTGCTATGCAAATCTCCTTATAAATCATAGCCAGCACTTGTTACAATCTTCATATTAGAGAGCCCTAAGGTCATCACATACAAAACACAGTTGAGAAAATCTCTCAACATTTTTGATTTATAACCACTTCACGTGGCTTAAAAGAAGTTTATAAATTCTGATTCTTGCATTATTAATGTGGGCTTTTTAAGAAGCTTTCAATAATAAAGTATTTTAGCCCTTCCACCTAGAAACCTCTCTCCTTTTCTGGAGCAATTTATTATTCTGACCTGAAAGATCAGATCCTACATGCAAGAAGAGTTTTGTACAATGACTAGTGGAATTTCAAAAGTTCCATTATTTCACAATTAAATTCTGTGCAAATGCCATCAGTTTCCTGTTACTGGAGAGATAAATTCAGCATTGAACTTTTTTCTAAAATTTTTCTTTTATTTCCCTCTCTGATGAAATACTGTATTTAAACATTTGAAAAAGAGAGAGTGAAAAAAAAGGAAAAGGCACACTTTCCATTGCTGGAATATGAACTTTCAATAATAAAGACTACAGATCCAGCCCATAGAGCAGTAGGATTATAGTTTTGAATGAGTTTTAAATGCCCATACTCCTTTCCCTTTCTTTGTGAGCCAAAGTATTATGTCCTACAGCAGGCAAGCATTGCCATGCAGTTGGAGATAATTATCTRAATATCTAATGCTAAGGGGCTGGCAGTGATAAACTGGCAAGACTTGGACTTTYTAAACAGTTTTAAAATACCTTGAAAGAGCTGAGGCTGTGGTAGCACTTCCACTCTTAATTTGCTGACAAGTTGTGGCATTTGCCACCAAACAGCTGCAAGCAAGATAAACCCCACACTTAGTGGGCTTTTGAATTTTCTTGGTAAAAGGAAGTTTTTGGACAAGACAGTTGCTTTTTTCCCCCCAGTAGAGTTGCCATGGGTGCCACAGGGCTGCTGGGCTGTTGTAGATGAGCAGAGCAGAGTTCCACAACATTTTTCTCTAGGAAAGGGTAATTTATTTCAAACCTGTGCAGTAATATCCTATCATACACAGACATTTCACCGAGGAAGTGACAATACACTATTCAAGTGACCTCTTCATAAAATCTCCCSACTGCATAACATTTCTAACCCACAGTAATAAGCATTACTTATGGTTAAAGGCAAAGAGTTACAAGTGTTCTTAGAAAATTAATTATTTGAGAGTTAGAGATGAAATTCATACYRGTTTTAGATTGGTTTYAGGTGAYTTACAAGTGCTGATGACTTACTAGTAAATACAGAAAATACAGAAAATACCTCTTACTTCCTTCTTACATACRATTTTGACATTGCCATCAGTATCTTCTGACCAATCAATAGCCTCATCTACTGACCATACTCAGTTTTTCAGTTGTTGTGCAGTCAGAAATAGAAGCCACAAGCCTRCAAAGCTTTCAGCTCCCTGTAGTCAGTGTGATCAGCAACAGTCAGCATTTAGAGGACTGGCCCTATTATGTTGTTCAATCTAGCCATGTTCTTATTAGATTGTATCTCTTTTGCAGGCCCTACTGGAGAGGAAGAATAAAGCCAAGAAGCGAAAGCCACCTCCCCCTGTCTCTGAAAAAGCAGAAACCCCTGTTCCTAAGCCACCCACTCTAATCCTGGAAAAATCATCAATTGTAAGTGGGCTGGTTTTAGCACTTTTTTTTCCCTGTTGATCCCTGATTGTTGCCTACACAGATGTTAAAGAAGGGAGATATATATTTTCTGAATGCATCCATGTTAAAAATAGCCATCATTATTTTGTAGAACTCTCTTTATTTTATAAGGATACTAGCAGCCAAACAATTGAAAATATTTTACAATATCTGTTGGCCAAATTCTTAAGTAAACTTCAGTTTAGAAAGACATAAATTAGTAGACATGTTATTCCCTTGTTCTTGGGGAACAAAAGGGCATCATCATCATTATTATTATTATTATTATTATTAGTATTAGTATTAGTATTATTATTATCATCATCATCATCATCATCATCATCATTATCATCATCATCATCATTATTCAGTAGCTTCTAGTCTTGTGAACTGACAATGCTATCATAATCCAGTAAGGCAATTAAGTTTAGAATTATTGAAGTCAAAGAGACTTTGGCTGCCTAGCATTGAGCATGCACTTCATTAATTTTCTGGAGTGAAGCTCTTGTCATCATGCAGGATGCAGTGTTTGATGATCATGCACCAGTTCACAGATAATGATTCTCCTGCAGAGATTGAAATAGCAGTAATGATGTGTCATGGGGGATGTGATATGTTGTAGGAAAAAAAGTACTTTTTAGGGGAGCTGCAACTTCTTTTCATKTCTTAAAGTGACATACTTAAGAGCTGGTTGCCCCAGTAGACTGTTTTGTCTTCTTACTAACACCATTTTCATGAGGTACTAAGAATCAGACACAGCTACATTTAAATGTGTGAATTTAAGAGTCGAACAGCCATGAAAGTGAAGAGAGAAAGTCTTATTAGATCATCCATGCTGCTGTTTTCCTTTTTGCAGCATGATATTCTGTGGTTTTTTACAGTCTATTTTAAGATGACTGAAACAAGAATTTCTTGCCTCCTTRGGGAGAGCTTTCCACAGCTTTACCAACTTCTGAGCATTAGATACTGTATTGCRGTGGTGGATTTACACTGTTTAGGTTTACTAGTTTGGCAGATTTTTAAGTACCTTGAGGTAACATGTAAATAAATCAGATTTTTTTTTCTACCACTTGTAGTCATTCTTGAATGTGTTTACAGATTATATGGGATTTTTTAAAGAATACTGATACAATAGAATTYCACCTTTATGAATTCTGTTAACGTTTGGGTTTTTTTTCAAGAATCTGTGTGAACACATAAAAGATGGAGATCTCCAGTGAAGCTCCATCTGTAAAATCAGGCCACTTGAGCCACTGAAGAGCAACATTAACATTTCCTGCCTTGCCAAATCCAAGTAAGGTTTCTCCTACCAGGTGGCTGTGAGGAGCAGTGAAAACAAGGCTCTTCTCTGTTGTTAATGCTTTTCTTCCTGCCACCCATATGAGTACCAACTGCTAAGTGTTTCCCACTGGAGCTGAGGATCTCGAAAATGAGCCAGAAGAAAGTGGAGAGAATGGAGGCACTACTGCAAGCATCCTCAGCTTCTCTSCTCCAGTCATTTCTAATGGACTTAATAGCCACAACAAAGCTCACAGAAGCACCTCTGAATTCCTTCATYAGTTTTACTTTCTTCCAGCCTCCTCTAGTTTGCAGCCATCTCCTAGATCCTTCTGTATCCTTAATTTTTCTTATTTTTTTCTGCAGGGCATGATAGGATTTTCATCTCCCCTCACTCTTTCCTGCTGGTCTGTAGCAGGCAGATGGACAAGCTGATGATTACACTTCCTAAGGCATCATTTGCAGCATTCAAAAACAGAAGTACAGAAAAATGCTTCTCATAAAAATTCAAACCTAATCTTAGTTAATATCACACCAAGCAGTTTGTCTTACCAGTATGTGTGCCATCACCATTTCCAAAACTGTCCTGAAGGGATTTCACGCTGTAGCCAGGTGATGTGGTAGAGTTTAGCTCTCTAGGGCTGGAAACTCATCCCCTTTTTCCAGAGAAGAAGAACATATCAAATCACAAGTCCTCTGGGTAGTTCTGCTTTGCTGCTCTGCTTTGCTCTGCTGGTTTGGAGAGATAGGAATGCTGCCTTTTGCATTTGGAAAACTCGATCCYCAACACCTAAGAAAAAAACAGAAAACTAAGATTCAAGCCCACACAACTTCTCTCATCCCACACTCTTCCCTGTTTTTCCGGCACTTCTTAAATAACACATTTCAGTGCAGTCCTCATAGGTTCTCTATTAAAAAAACCTTACTTCCAATTTCAAGATTTCTTTTTAACTTTCCCAGGCACCCAATGGACATTTGCCTTTTCCTACTGTCAACTCCAAACCAGAAGACCCCTCACCTAGAAAAAATGGTCCATCTGTGCTTCATCTACTTCCTCTTTAAAATAAGCCATAAGCCCTTTTTTTTTTGTTGTTGTTTTTGGTTTTTTTTGGTTTTTTTTGTGGTCATGTTCCCATTCCCAATCTACTCCATGATTGTTCCAAATTGGTATCAATCACACAGTGCTAGGCCAGTAAAGTTCTCAAAGAGACAAATCACAATGGACTGTAGTTAATTTTACTTCCAAACTATCACTTTCTCAGTCTTAAACTTACTGAGTTGCTCTGATAAAGACCACCAGTGGAATAAATATCAAAAGAAAAATTGYATATTTTCTCTTTTAATTTAATCCCTTTTTTTTTTATGGCTAACAGCTCTTTTGGATCTCCTTCAATAATAATTCTGTCCCCTTAGTGTCTTGACCTGTTAAATTAATGTAGCTGATGCTCATTTTGCAAACTCAGATAGAAGCTACAAATAGTACTTATAATATATACAGTAATTTTCTCCATCAACATCTCTTATCATTAGGTTCTCATCTCTAAAGACCCTCTAAAACATAAAATAGAATCTGACTGTATGACCTTTCTTCCCCATCCCTTGCAAAACATGGAAGTAGATGTTATTCTGACCTTCCTTTCCCTAGAAATTAGAAGAATGGTGTTCAGAAATAACCAAGAAAAGMCAGGATATGAGTTAGACTGTTTAACAGTTAGACAGATAATCTACAGAAATTCCAGTCTCCAAAGAAAGAAATAATTATTGTGTGGATATTTGCTGTTTTGGCAGGAGGAAGAGGAAACAGAGCTGGCAGTGATCTGTCTGCAGAAGTTGCTCCGAGGCAGAGCTCTTCAGAACATGGTATTTTGTCTCTTTGTTTATGTCAGTCTTCAGAATGATGGTGTGAATGACTGGTTGCAAAGGGTGTTTAACTGGTTGCAAAGGGTGTTTGCAATCTTTCTTCCACAACACTAATCAGGGGTGATGAGCTTCTGCAGCATATCCTCTCATGTGTTTTTGGAGTCCTGCAAGGTTGAGGTCTGCTCCCCAGCTCAAATTTCTTACAGGAACATCTAGGTTCCTACACRTCTGTGAGTGTCCCCCTGTTCTTGCCATCCTCTACACTCAGCTGTTTAATTWGGTGCTTCATAGCAGAATTACTCAAAAAGCAAATTCTGGACTAGATCTGGACCATGAGTACATTTTGCTGCGATGCCAAGATCCCAGGCACAAGAAACCTCCCACATCCCAACAGGGCAGCTTGTATTTCATCTTTCTGGTTTCCTGTGGTGGTGAGCTGGACCCCAGATGRGGAGCAACTGAAGCTGACCACTGTGATGTGCAGGACCCATCTTTCTGCTTTCAGGGGAGCAGAAGGGGGTCTAACTAAAAATTAATTGAGTAGCCATGCCTTATGGACTTTTTATTAAACAAGTCTGTCACTTGTGATCAGACAAGTCCAGAAGGTTTGTTTCCATGTCCACAGAGAGTACAATTGATACTCTCTCCTGCAGTAACTATTTAATTCTKTTGTGAAGTGTTCCCATGTAGGACCCTGTCCTGAGCTTTAGCAAACAATGCAATATTATGAAAGTGGCTTGAGKTGGAATATAGGCTTCCCAAGTGTTCTCCAGTTCTGTGATGGTCTACAAGAAGGATGTTTGAGGCCACTGAAGGGTTGTTGACTTTCACATGAAAAGTTCCCACCATTTTAGGAWTCTTCTTCCAGCTGGATCAGAAATACATGAGTCGGAGAATGATGTGAGCAGGGTTGAATGATCTTTTGTTGCTCTTGGAAGTCTTGTTGGAAGAGAGTGAGACTGAAAACAAAACAGTGTCAAGGAGGGCTGGGCCACATAACCCCATAACAGGGATGGCAGCCATTCCAGCAACCTCCCCACCAATTTATGGCTTTGGGCTGTTGCTGGGCTTCCTCAAGATGAAGGTCAGAGAATAGGAGATGTTGAAACACTGTGAAGYTTTGACATTGAGGCTAATATAACAGGGTATGCAGAAGGCTATTACCCCTTTTACTTGACATTGGTGGTGGTGTTCCACATTCCAGTGGATTGAGTTCTGGGTAAAGCCAAACAGAATAATAATTAAAAGAAAAAAAAAAGTAGCAAGGGATTACCTATACTCCACAGCAGAAGGTCTCAACTTTCATCTTCTATGCAGAAAGGATTAGGTAAGATTTACTTGACAGCTGTAGTGTTTACCTAAATGCAACCACAAATTTGTTATGGAGAACTAGGTCTTGGTAACAGCTGACCTTGCAACTTGGAGAAAAAGGGTGTGCTCTGCTGGTAAAAACATGTTGCTCTGTATTCTCCATTTAATATGCTCAGTTGTTTACCTTTATTTTAAAGATGTTTGAAGGGAAGGAGAAGCGCCTGGATCTGATCCAAGAGCTGCGCACCACTCATGCACTYCAGGAAGATGGACAGCTGCTCTTGAAGGCACAGAAGCAAATGACACTGTCTTTACAGCGACAGCATGACTCACAAATGCACCAGGTTTGCTTGCATAGATGGCAAGGTTGATTCACAACTCTGTCCTGACCAGACACTCTGTGCTTGCAGTATCACAACACTCTSGCATTTAATTTTTTATGATTTCTATTATCCACAGCACAGAAGGCACCCCAATAGCAATAAAACTCTCCTCACACAGGCCTCACACAATGAATGCCTGAGGGGCTAAAATTGCTCTCTCACTGCTCTGGGGGCTCTGGGGAATCTGAGAAACAGACTGAGGCACCCTGACCACAGCTGCTGTGCAGGCTGTGTTTGCTTTGTTTGCAGACAGAGCACTTATTTATATTTACAGGGCTTAGAACAAACTGCAGTGTCACATGAYGCTCAGTTTCCCCACATTTCAATTCATTTGTCTGCTCCTATGACCTGGCATCACAATACATGCTTGTCACTCACATCTGTCAGATATTTTACTGAGCATTTGTTACTGCTCTGTCCTTTCCCTGTCCCTTTTCTAGCTTGGCACCCTCTCAGGCTCCTCCTCACATATAATACCACACAAAGCAAGCCAAAGTTACCTTACTTTGTAAATTTTGCTGGGTTCAAAACTTCTAGAACCTTAGCAGTGGTGACACATTGAGGTACCTGCCACTGTTATGCAGAGCAGAGAAATTTTGGGCTCCATCCTCTATCAAGGATCTAGTGAAAGCCAGAAATATAAATTCCCATCCTGTTTCTTTACAGTGCTACAAGCTTCCAGACCAAAGTGAACAAAATGGCAGATGCTGGTCTGGAATGGATCATAAAGAAATTTTTTCCAGAGTTCACTGCATTTCAGAAACACAGTATCTATGACATGCCTGCAAGTTTTCTTGTAGTTTTTACCACTCTGCTCTTTTTAAAATGACCAGCTGTGAGGCCATTCTGCAGCTTCCATATTACWATAACAGCATGCACTGGCCAGTTGGCCTGGTGGAGATGAAGCTGCTGGTTGGGCAGCAACAAAATTTCTCCTTAGATCTCAGTAAAAACTGGACCAGGTGACTGTGTTTTAGCATTTACCATTTAGCATTTCCAGATACTCCCTCATGCACAGATGTGGAATGTAGGAATAGAGAATTTTTTCTGCTGAGGAATTAAAAGAAGAATAAAAGCTGTAGGCATTAGAAATTTTCAGTGCTCTTTTTCTTCTGGAAATCCAGGGAGAGTGAAGGAGAAAGCAGTTCAAACATCACCATGACCTTCATAGAGAAGGAGAGAGAGCAAATGATWAAGATGTTGACCTCTGAGCTCAGAATTTCCTTTTGGGAGAGCCACTATCCCCCTCTGCTGGTATTGGCCTCCTGTACTCTCACTTTTGGTCTGGGTTGTTCTTTTTTACTATCTCTGAAGGTACACAGTCCAAGGCTCAGGTTTTCAAACATTTTGAACTCAGGTTTTCAAACATTTCAGACATTTTCTGTGTGGCTATTTCAGAAAGTTACTGATGACCCTCAGTTCTATAGGTTTTGGTGGTCACAGGTTTTTTTCAGGTTTTTGACCATTTCAGTATAAAAGAAATGCTTTCTGCAGAAAGAGGATGGAAACTCCAGATAAAGTGGTCAAAGATGAGGAGTTGAAAATTTCCAACTCATGTATAACAAAAATCCAACACAACAGTGATCCTGAGTTGTTTTTCTCCATTTCACACCGGTTTCATATTCATCACCTGGAGCAGTGAAGAGGAAGGAGCACTTTAGTTCCATGTTATCCTTCCCTGTAGGGTGGTGCAGTTACTGCWTCACCATCTTCCATCTGAAACACCTGTGGGCTAAGTGCTGTCACCTCTAGATGTGTGCAGCACTGAAAATCCCACTTTCTTGAAACACTGCCTGGGCAAATGGCACAGCTGCATAAGAAAGCTGATTTATTATTACTTGTCTGGGATATTTCAGCTTCACTTCAAGTTTTATATTCAGATCTATTCTGTACTTGCCTGTTTATTTCAACAGAACACAGCATCCAGCCAGKTCCAGACATTCCCTCCTGCCAAGGCCTGTGGCTTCAGAGTCCATACTGGAGATAAAGAACTCTCCATAGACCTTGTCCCTTTTTGTAGAGCAGTCACACACACCTAACCTATAAAACACAACGTGCTTGGAACAAGGAATGAGTGGCACAGTAATGCTGAACACCTGGAATCTTGTCTCAACTCTATCACAGACTTTCTGATTTTCCATTACCCGGAATTTTGAGGTCTCGTTTGCACTTCTGCAGATTTAATATAATTGCTATCAATTTGAATTTGTCAGCAGTTGGTAACTTGTGAAATTTTAGGTTCAGTGCCTAACGCTGGACTCATGGTTGCAGAAAGGGACTCATGGTTGCAGAAAGGGACTCATGGTTGCAGAAACCAGCCAAGGCATGTGATGTGAAGAATGCCAAACTCCTGGGGTTGTCCCATGGCTGGTCTGTGTGGATGCTGCAGGGCTGCCTCACATGCCTGTGGTAGTCCCGGGACTTTGTACAACGTTCCTGGGGTTCGTAACACAATTCTTTGCATTTTTCTTCTAAAAGCTGTCATCGCTGGAGAGAGACTTGGCCACTTTAGAAGGAAGGACACTGGCAAACATACTGGATTTTCTGTCCAAAGAGCTGCTGAGGCTGCAGGAGGAGGCAAAGATGCGTGCTTTGGTCACGCTGGCAGAGAGGGAGAGGCGGATGCGGGAAGCACAGGAGAGCGGMCGTCGTCAGCTGGAAGAGCTGCGGAGGCATGAGGAAGATGAGATTTTCAAACAGGCAAGAGAGGGAGACTGGTGGGACTGTGGGCAGTTTGTAGGAGCTGCCTCCTTGTGGGAAGGTCCAGATGGATGGGAGCTGCTTCAGCTCTGACTTTGGTGATGGCTGGTTTTAAAATTCAGGGGGAAAGCTTAGTGAGGAGAGGGTGATTCCTTCCCGAGAGAGTAATTCCCATTAAACTAAGGATGATCTGAATACCCCTACAGACAGTACTGTGATGAATGAGTATAGGTTTCTAAATTTCTACAACAAACACCTATGAAGAACAGATGTACTTAGATCATCTCTAGGAACAATGTTTTGGCAGCACTTGTCCTGGCCAGAAGAACTATTAGGTGCTTTCCCATGAAGGATGCCTTTAAGCMAAGGTTTGGAAAGATTTTGCTCCCCCAGTCCCAAGTGGACTGCAAATCACAAGAGGTACAAAATTTATTTTGAAGTAACGATAGTGGATAAAATAACCTTGAAATCAAGAAAAAAAATACTGAAATACCATATTCCATAACTATTCTATAGTTCTATTCCTATTTCCTAGCTCTTGACTGCATGAAGCATATTTCTCCCCGTTGAAAGGCATGAGTGGGAGTCTAATTGACTAAACCAATAATTTTCAAACTTTGTGGGAGGTGGTTAATACCAAAAGGGTCTGGCATCATGTTTATAGGGTTTTTTTTTAAATTTTAGCATCTCCTCTTATCTTTTATGTATTTCTGAGTGGTAAGCACGTAAGGTCAAGGAGCCATAAGCTTATGCTCTTCAGATCAGCARAAGGAAAACACCCATTTCTAGAATCTCAGCTCTACAACCATTATAAGGAAACCAATAATTTTATCTTGGTTTTTGACTGGCCTGATGAAACCTTTTCCTTCAGGGTTTGCCTGAATGAGAGCTGATTTATTTAGTGAAGTCAATACCCACGATTATTACTTGGCAGTTGTTGCTCAGAGGACCGTGAGAACGGAGGGAGCAACTGCCATTGCATTCACAGGACTAACYTGCTGCACCAGAATTGGATCTGTGAATAGGTTTTCTTCTACCCCTGATTCTTTYCTGCACTTGTTTCTGTTCAATCAGCGTTCAGAAAGAATTACTAGAAAATATTTTTTTATGGAAAGCATCTCGGAAAACAAATTTCAGGTTGGCCTGCATGAAACAAAGAGTCTTGTGAAAATCTGTTGTTCAAGTTTCTCTGGAAATCTTCCACTATATTCCTGGCAGTAGGCAGAGCAACAATATCTTGGTGTTTTGTTCTAGGTGGTGAAAATTCAGAACAAAACTATTGACACCTACTTGGAAGATGTTATCCTGAGTAGCATGGAGAGGACAGCTGAAGAACAAGCCAGGGAAGAGGTTCAGAAAAGAGCTGTAGAAATCAATGACATTGCTTATGAAATGGAAAATCGGTACGTTATTAAACAGCACATTAGGGGCTGTTCACAGCAGTTCAGAACCTGCCTGACCATCTGCATCTGTGGTTGTGTGCATCATCCCAGACATGGGAAGGGCAGAGCAATGCTGCTCTGGTCGTTTCATTAGTGTGGCTGCTGTATGGGAACCACGCTGTTCCTACCTGCTACACACATAAATCCATCAAAGCCTTGTTTCCATACAGCATGTGCCAAGATCCCTTTGCAAATCACTCGTGAGATCTGTGAATCACCCTTTTCAGATTTCTCCACACCAGTGTGAGGCTGTGACTGAGCTCTAAGTGAATCTGGGAACTGCCTAAAGCAATACCCATTCATACTGATCTTTTCATTTATTTGTACTACTACAGAAAATCCATTTGAAAGAGATCCTAAAAGATACAGCTATGCAGGAGCCTTTCAATTCTGGGATGGCTGTTCTTTAAGGAACTGCCAATTTCCATGGAGGTCACTCATATTGATGGCTGCCTGACAAGGCAGTTTGAGTAGAGTAAGTTGTTGAGAACACCACAGTCTTGTGTTTGGCTGGGGCATCAGCAGTGAATACTTTTTAGGACCTGCCAAACTCCAGTTCAGTTTCTATGCCCTTTWTTTGGAATTGAGCCATAAAAATCCCAATGACACAGTGACTCTCCTATGGTACAGCAGCTGTGTATTTTGTATCTGGATGAATACAAGCAGAATGTTGGAATCCTTGGGGAGAATGAAGCGTAGATAATGCATGCAGCCCCTGGGCCAACTGGGAACCCACCAAACAYTGGCATGGAAAAGAGCACGGGGGCAGCCAAGTGCAGAGTCACAAAAGGGAAGAATTTAGCAAACTCAGCAATGGGCCAAAGACTAAATTGACAAAGACACAAATCCTCACAGATATGTGTGTCTAACTCAGTTTGTCATCAGAGGGAACTGAGCTTCTAAATACTGTTGAGGGTAAGGATTGTAGGGTGATGCTCTTCCTGCTTTCCAACGTACTATTGAAGACATTTGCACCAAAAACAGGAATAGTCACACTGTCACCTATTTGTAGGATTAAGAGAGACACAGCTGACAACTACAATGATGTGACAATACACTCCCTTGGAAAGAGTGAGAATTTTTACAAGGGAGACCTGTTTTTGCAGAGGTGATGTGGAGAGAAAATTAAAATACTAATACCACTGTGCATCTGTCCTGTAGTCGGACTCGCCTACAGTCAGAAGAGATTGTAGCAGAGCTGGTTTATAATTTCCTGATCCCAGAAGCTGAGAAAAGCTTTATGCGAGAAAGAGGTAAGGAGTCCAGTACCTTTATTTTCTTTGTAACTTTATTTTCTTTGTAACTTTATTTTCTTTGTGAATGGGTTCACTTTCCTTATTCTAGCTCCATGAAAGGAATGCTGCAGTGCCAGGAGTTGTCTCAGTTCCCTGAGATTCCTTTTCTGCACTCTGCAGGTAGAAAGTTAAGCTCTTTGACCCTTTTTCCAGCTATTTCTCATATGCTTTAGTCTTTCTCAGTGATGACCAAAATTCAGACCTGCTGTGTGATCTGGACTTTTCCAAGAAAGGTTGGATCAAATAACCCTTCAGGTCCCTTCCAACCAGGTTTTCTATGATAAATCTGCAACAATAAAAGTGCATTAAAAGAATCAGCCCAYTGCACATTCTAAAACAAACTGGAAAAAGTCTGAGTAGCACTGCTGGGGATTGTGTATTATTTGGCAATTTCTAAAACTGTAGAAGACTTTAACAAGCAAATTACTTAAATATATRTCATATATGGAAGGAAGGTTATACAMTTCCCTATGCTTCCCTCTCCTCCCYAGCTGGTTGAGAGAAAGAGGCAAAGATAAAAATTTTAAGGTTGGCTGAAGTGGCATCATGTTGTAGGGAGATAAAGGATGTTTCCATTTAACAAAATGGAATGGCATCTGTCAAAACACAGAGGGAAGACCCTGTGTATTACATTAGGTGATGTAATGAATAAATGGCTGTCCCTAACTGGGATGTGACTAAACCAGCCATCCACAGAAAGTGAATGTGACCTCAGCAAAGCAATTGCATCACAATAGAGCTCGAAGAGGTCCTTGCYGCAGTGCACTTCTCTGCCTTGAGAACAAAGACACTCAGTTTGTTGCCTCTTTTATTGCGTTGTGAATGAAAACACAAAGCCTGAGCACGCATTTTGTTGTCTCTTCCTGTATTTGCCACAACAACAGTACCTGCTCTGCAGCTGGCAGTTCTGCATAAGCTTAAATCAGCTCCCTTCACTCCAGCACTGCTTCTGCCAGCCTTCCAGAGCAGGTGATGTCATCATAGTCAGTGRAGCCTGCAGCTCAGGCACAAACACACTCAGAGGTTAGCTTGTCTCAGACAGGAGAATAGAGAGGAGACCTGGAGATGCCTCAGGATTCTGGACATGCTGAGAACATATATCAAGGCTCAAAATATGTACTGCATTTAAATGCAGCAGCAGCTAATGAACAAAGCACTCAGAAACACTCCCAAATGACAGAGGAAAAGAATCTTCAGAATCTGTGATAGCTACAGTGAGTTTGCCTGGAAAGCAGGGCTAGACCCAGCCAAAAATTAAACTGGATGCTGGTGAAATAGAGCAATAAGCAATTAAGTGTGAGAGCTCCTTCAATAAGCAATTAAATGTGATCAGGAGAGATTTGTCATGACATTTTTGTGACAGCAGAAGTCAATATCAGGAAGAGATCTGGTTCATGCTCTTTTCTGCTATTGCTGCATGGGGTGGAGGGAGCTCCATTCACTTTTGGCAGTTGAATTCTACCAATTGTTCACCCTGACAAACACACCCTTCTGTAAACCTCCTGCACAGTGATACTTTCAGGGAAGCAGAATCRTTAACTATTCCATGGAAATCCAAAGCAAATAATATCAAAGAATGACATTAGATCTCATAAACATATTAGTGTATTGCATTTCTATGGTGGCTTTTAAAGCTTTCCCTGTAGTGAGCCAAATAATTCATTATGAAACTKTGTTTTATCAACCTGGCCCATGCTTGAGCTGCACCTTCCTTTAAACTGTCAGGAAATGATGTAAGAGCACAGTTATCTGTCCTGTCAAAGCAGCAAATCCAGGACTGAAGATTTGAAGGYCTGCAAGTTCAATTTTTGCCTACACTTTAGCTTCTCCGCTAAAGACCTCTATTCTGTCATTACCTGCTTGTTTGGGATTTTTTTTTCTCCTCATTATGTTGCATTTTGATCCATAAAAGSAGGGATTATCCAATATGGCTCACTCTGAGAAGCCTCTGCACCTCRATTCTGAACCCACCTTCACTGGATGTAGAAGTCACTGTGCTGATATGAAAAACCTTGCTTGGAAAAGGACAGTCACTCACCAATTCCAGCATGCTGTCTTTTAGATGGAATTCACTGTGGATGGAGAAAGGGACTGCAGCAATTCCAGGGGCACATTCCCAGTGTAGTTGATGCAGTTGATGCAAACAGGATTGAAGCCAAAATGCCTTGGGTAGAGAAACCTCTCCTGGGAATGAGAGCTGGCTGGTGAAGGTCAGCTTTTCAAACACAAGTGAGATCCAGTTGCATTCATTGTTGACAGAATGGACCTGGGAGATGGATAAACACAAACAGGGTGGGTTGGTAACACTGAGTGACTGGGACAGGGACAGCAGCACTGTGTGCCAGCATGCAGGACACCAGTGCTTCAGATTCACAGTTAAAGTGCAGCTCAGCCTTACAGCAAAGCAACTCTTGGACTTCTGCAGGGAGGTGCCACAGTGAGAGCCTCTGCCTTCTCCTGCAACATTCCTCACACTCTCCATAAGGCACACAGTATTTCAATCCCCTTGACTGAAATAAAGAGACATGGGGGGAGCAGAGAATAGTGAAGAGCAATAAAGAGAGCTGTAGGGTGAATGCTTAKGCTTGGGTAATTATTTCCCAGGAGGTGGGTTGGAAATACATACAAATTACTTTGGATGAAAGGAGGCAATCCTGCAGTAGCTGARGGGATGTGACAAGGTAAGCAGGTGACTTCATGTGTCAATAGTGGCTCCAAGTCTTACTTTGAACTCACTAAGAGTTTCTCAGTGCAGGTCAAATCCTGGCACAGGAGATGGCAGATTTCAGCTGGATTCTTCCAGAGGCCTGCTGCAATYAACAGACACCAAAGGAGAAGTTATTTTAAAGCCTGATAATATATCCGGGGCAGTTGTTTTCAAAGCTGGAAAGGAAAATGATTTGGCTGTGCTTCCCACTGTGGGGGCCAGTCTTCAAAGTGAAATGCAAAGTTGGTTGCTGCTATTAGGTGGCAGTAGAACACTTTCAGCCACAGTTAGAAGGGCATGATTTTTTTTTTTTTTTCCTGAGAGAGACTTTTCCACAGCTGCAGGATTGCTAAAACTACTCCTCCCTTCTCCCCTACAGAGAGCACTTTGCTGTACATTTCCAAGTAAAAGCCTTACCTCTCTTTTATGCACAGTGAGGCAGTCCCAAAGAAAACACATCTACGCTGCTCATCGGATCATCCACGGGGGMACAGAGGGGATTCTGGTGGATCCAGCACTGCTTCAGGAGGCATCTGGCAGCAGGACAGAGGGACAGCCTCCTGTTGGGACAGACAGCACAGCTCTGAGTGGGACAGCAGCTGACAGTGCACCTGAACTTGGAGAAGGAGWCACAGAGGATCCCACAGGCTCCTAGAGAAAAAGAAGAGTGAGGTGAGTTTCCCTTCCCCCCTGTTATTTGAATCTGGAGCATGGTGAAGGAGAGGAAAGCACATGATATTTACTTTTTCAGGGCACCCAGAATGGAAAATCCTCTCTTTCCCTTGGGCTGTCCCTCCTGCTGCCTGCCAGCAGTGTTGTCCTGGAACCATTCTGTATATATTTTGGTGTGGCAGCTCCCTCCACTCCCTCCCCATCTTGCTTTGGACTTGATCAGCTATTTTTTTCTCTTCTGATTGTTTAGAGAAGCTTAAGTGAGAAAGCAATGTTAGCATTCCTTGTTTGTTTTCCTGGCAYAGACCAATAAAAATCTGCACCTGGGCTTTTGGTGATATTTTCTTGCATCAATAACATTAAATGGAAAAATACCCCATAAGTGGGAAATTCTGAGTTGAGACCATCCACAGACAAGTGTGTCYCACTGATTTCCTTAGTGGTGTAAGGCCAAGTGGCTTCCTGCATCAGGACTGCTATTAATAAAGCMCTGGAGTTGAATAAAAACAGTCAGATTTTGCATCATCTTTTCACATCATTAGTCCTGGGACAAAGAAAAGAGCTCAAGGCTTGCTCAGCTCTCCAGCACTCACCTGTCAGAATCCCTGTGGCCTTAAGCACGTGAAAGGGACATGAAAGGGACCAAGCAGCACATTTTGGAAGGGCAGGCACAACCACACCACCACACCCAAAATGCTCATTCATTGATGGCTACAGCTTACACAGCAAACAGCAGTAGTGATGTGGTACTGATCTCTCCCTGCTTCCATCATTTCTCCCTTGGGGATTGTCTGTTCCTGGTGCTGGGTCTGTAAAGCTCAGGTGTGGTCCAGCTAATCCTGACCATAGCACTGCTCCTATAAAACAAACCAGCAGCTGGTCAAMAATGTGCTCACTAATGCATTCCTGGAAAAATTCTGCATCGGGTCTTTGTTTTGGAGATCGGGCTGGGGCAGAGGACAGGGAAAGGAATTACAGAGAGGGGAGAGAGAGAAGAAAAGAGTCTGAAAACCCCTGTATTCCACTGGGAGGTAAATGACAGCTGGAGAGAGGAAAAAGAGCTACAGCAGCCCTCTGCTGTCTCCAGGTCGCTGAATCAGGGGCTCCAGGGCACTGCTGGGGTCAGGCAGCCTCTCTAAATGTGCAAACTCTGGCAGGAGTCAGAGAGGGCTGACAGGTTTTGGTTAGGACTCTGTGAGGATGATCCCATGAGGGACTGGGGATTTGGAGCCATTCTCATGGTATTCATAGCGAGTCAATAAAAGGGAAGGTTGCAAATGCAAAAATACAGAAGGAAACACTCTCCACAGTGTAGGAGGAGAAGCTGGGTAGGGATCGGCTCTGTAGCCTCAGGCCACCTTGGACAAATTTAGCCTGGTKAAAAGGAGGGGGGATAACATGAATCACAAGATCCCATGTAATAGGAGAGACATGGAAAACMTGATGCAGCAGAGCAGTAGAACAGGAAGACCAATCCATTGAGGAATTTGCTGTATTTCTGAAGATGTTCTGTYAAAATAAACATTCTCCATGTGGCCATTGTACAGTTTGGTGTGATTTTWAAGTAAAGTATTCCAACAGGTGTGGGAATGGACAGAGGTTACAGCACTTTGGTCATCTCTAGGGCTACAGCTCTGCATGACAACGAGGGGGCAGGGGACTCCTAGTGCTGTGCCCAGGCTGAGCTATAAATGTCTTGGCTTCTGTTATGATTTAAGGGACACTGTCAGGGTAAAGCCATCTTTTCCACATGACATTGCCTAGCATGTAAACTGAAGGCCACGCAGGATTCCTGCAGGAGGCTCTGCTGTAGGAACTGCTTTCAACTGTCATGTTGGGTTGGGCTTTTTATTTTTTTTTCCCCAAGCTTTGCAGAATGTACTTTGAGGAAGAAAATGAGCACGGTGAGAGGGAATTGGGATCATAAATCAACAGTATAAGAATGCACCATTCCCTCTCCTAGCAGGAGACAGAACAACCCTGGGGAGGAGCTGTACCCGAAACAAACACAGCAGAAACCTCCAGGGCTGCACCAATACAGTGGAAACGTGGGGAAAATTCAACTACAGTTCAGCAAAAAGGACTGTTGGTCTTTCTTCACTGGACATGTACAGTGTGTGCATTTCTGTCAACCACACCAAAAAAAGAAAACCACACCAAACCCACGCTCTCCCATCTCTCCTGCCTCCCTTAAAGCAATTTGACCATCACAAAAGTTGCTGCCATAGACCTGGGTGTGACACTTTTAAAAGAGTTCCTGCCCCTTTGATCATGGCTGTTCTCTCTGCTCCTGGTCTCACAAGTGCAAGGATTTGCCTGGTAAATCACTGGCCTCAATTCAGCCCTCACACAGTTTTTTTTAGGGGAGTGGGATTAAGCCTAAAAGTATGGTACTCACATGCCCAAGGCTTTTAATAAGGCCCAATTGCAGTGTTGCTGACATCTCCTCCAAGCCCCATCTCCCTGCTTTCACCAAAATCCTGTTCATGTAACTTTTCCTATGTTTTGGATGGGTGAATCAGTGTCTTGGGGCATCCAGGAGCCTCCTCACTGCAGCACCCTCTGAGTTGGGCCTGGGCTTGGATGGGGAGCTGCTGTTTTGTGTGCCTTCCTTCCCCCCACCAGAGAGGCAGGAATTGGTTTGAACATCTGCCAAAACTGCCAACTCCCYGAGACAGAATGTGTTCACCTGGATTAGTAAATCCAATTTTCCTGGGACCACCCTAGACCAAGGCCCCCACCTCTCCTCCCAGCCACTGCCTGGAGCAGAACTGGCAAGGAGAACATCTCCACAGACACTGCTTGCATGAGACAGAAAACCCCAGCAGGCCGAGGGGAAGGGTGTACTCTGGAATCTCTGCAGGAGAGGCAGCTCTGGCTCTCTGCTCTGATCATATCATTCATTCCCTCTCATTCCTCCTTTTCTCCCAACCCCACACACCTTCTGTTCCACTTCTGGCTGGAGTCAAGGCCACTTTGCTTGGCCTTTTCCCACGTGCCACATCCCAATCCTTCACGYAGCACCCAGAAGGGATGTCCTGTTCCCATTTCTTTCCTGCAGGGCTGCTTACCTGTACACACATGTGCTGCCTGGCTTGGCACACCATCCCTAACAGCCTCTTGTAGCTGCCCACTGCTCTGCAGTGCCTTGGACCCTCTGCACAGCCCAGCCAGATGAGATTTAGCCCATCCAGGCATAAATCCTGGAGCCATCCTGGATCTCCTCAGTCAGTGCTGGAGATGTTGATCCTTGTCCTCGAGGAACATCCAGGGGTGTGTGGTGCTGATTGCAGTGAGATAAAGGTGGTRGAGACTTAAAAGCTGCATTTGCTGCTCTGTCCCTGGATTGCTGCCAGATTGATCCTCAGGATCTCCCTTTTGTTTKTTACAGCCTCTTGCAAACACCATGTTGGTTCCTTACCTGTTGAATTGAATCCTTTCTCCATCTGCCAATGGAATTTTTCTGCCTCCRGCCAAATGCAAACCATTTTTTCATTGCTGCGTGGGCCCCAAATCTGTTGTCTCCAGCAGAAACAGCTTCCATTGACCAACCTGTTCCTAGGCCTGGTGCCATGAAAACAAAAATCTTAAAAGAGGTGTWACTGAGATGGGCCAAGGACTCCCAACTGAGCAGGCCTTTTTCCCAAGGCTGCAAACATATGGCAGCATCCCAAACAACATCAATGAGCTCCTTGAGTAAAAATGCTCTCAAACAACCTGGGTTTTTCCAGTAAGCACCATCTTCCTCCTGATCTCTCTGGCCTGGCAAAGGATTTGGTTACAGGAATGAGCTGCAGAAGGGAGGAGGAGAGCATGGCTCCTTTAAGCCAGGGGAAACAATCAGAGAATTGTTTAGGTTGGAGAGGACCTCTAAAGTCACCRAGTCCAACCATTACCCCAGCACTGCCAAGTCCACYRCTGAACCCTTTCCCCACATCTTTTGAATACCTGTAGGTGGGTGACTCTACTGCTTCCTGGGCAGCCTGTCCCAGGACTTGACAACCCTTTGCRTGATTCTTTTTTTCTTAATATTAATTCTAAACCTTCCCTGGTGCAACCTGAGGCCATTTCCTCTTGTCAGTGGGAGAAGACAGTGACCCCCASCTGGCTGCAGCCTCCTTTCAGGGAGCTGTGGAGAGTGGTAGCAAGGTCCTATTCTAACTCCTGGGTTCCACCAGCTTTTACAAACTTTGCTTAGGGGAAAAAATATCCAATCAAAAAGCTCAAACCCCCCAGTGTCTCTGCTTAGCAGTCCCTTTCATTCTCAGCCCCCTGGGCCYGTGGCTCCTCTGCTGGGACAGGTGCTTGTGCTGTGCCAGACAGCTCTGCCTGGGGATGACATTGGTGTCCCATGGCCACATTTTCCCCTCAGACAGCCCTGGGCTTGGTCAGGCTGCCCCACTGCCACTCTCCTGGCAGAGCCCCCAGTCAGAAACACCCTGCTGCAGCCACTTGCCAGCTTCCAAAAGGGAAGAGGCTCTTCATCACCTGGTGTCCTGGAGTACATGAGCAGAGACTGGTGATGCAGAGAGGCAGGAATCCCTGGAAGAGAAGGCTTTAACTGCATTGACTGCATGGGAGACCTATCCCACTGCATGCAGACTCAGGGGGCGATAGGATACACCAGGAAAATGTCTGTGCAGGGCATCAGGAAGCAGCCAGAATTCCTGTATTGACCAAAGGCAGGTGTTTGCTGTGCAAGTCCAGCTCTCCCTCCCAACCCTGAGCATTCACCCACGCTGTGAATTCTCCTGACAGGAGCTCCAGCAGGAGTTTGTCTGGGGSTCTGCTCTCTGCTCCAAAGCCTYGCACTGTACAACACTCACACCCAGRGCCAGCTTTCCCACTGTGCCCCGTGTGACACCTGCACACCTTCCTCTCCTAGCAGAGCTSGGGTTTGGCAGCAGTCGGGGCTGACCCCGCAGCCTCTGCGTTTGGCAAAGCCCGTCCTTTGSCAGGAACACCACCCTGCAAGAGCAGCAAGGGACGACAGGACAAGGGCCCAGCCGAGCTCTTTGTGGAGCCAGGGCAGGGGAGCGAGGCTCAAGGCTGCCAGAGGAGGTTCAGTCCCATCTGCTGGGCTCGCTGTCTCCAAGCAACTGGACGTGGTGCTTCAGACACAAACCACAGCGCTCCTCTCCCCTCCACATTTGCAGCTCACTTCCCTCCTCCTCCTCCTCCCTTGTGGCTCTTGTTCTTCTCCCCTGGACCTTCCCACCAGCAGCCCGAAAGCTGCCACCTTCCAGATAACAAATGGTGCCAGTAGCCTTGACACTGACTTTTAATTCCAACGCAGATGGCTGGCAGCTCGCTGGAAAAAGACAAAGTGCATCAGCGGRGCAGACTTTTGTACCTCACTCGGTGCTGCTTTATGCTCGGATTAGCATTTTAAATTGTTCCAAGGCATTGGTGACTGACAGCTAAGTGGATTTGACCCTGGCTTGCAGATGGRTCTCAAAAAGTATTTTCTCAGAGGGTGACAGAATGATGTTCCCTGGACGATTGTGGGACTGGCTCTTGCTGCTGGAGTGTTTTGTTCCATCTTTTAAAGGGTGGCTGRAATATAAACACTCAATGGAACTGTAACAATCCCACTGGCACCGC